GGTCGGCGGGGGTGGAGGAGGAGGAGGAGGAGGAGGAGGAGGAGAGGAGGAGGAGGAGAGGAGGAGGAGGAGGAGGGAGGGAGGAGGAGAGGGAGGAGGAGGGGGAGGAGGGAGGGAGGGAGGGAGGGAGGGAGGGAGGGAGGGGGTCGACGCGGAGTAAGAAGCGAGGCCTCCTCCTCGGACGCAGCTCGGAGCACCGCGGCCTGAGAGTCTCGCCCCCAGCGTGCTGCGCAACGCCTGTACCATTACCTTAGGGGGCCACACGCGAGCCCTACCCCTACCCCCGACGATTTCTGAGGGGTAGGCTGGGGTTCACTTCGCTCGGGAGCTCCCGAGCGAAGGGAACCCCACCCTCCCCCTCAGAAATCGCGTCATATCACCGTTGTGCAGATAGCATGCCCAAGCAGCTCGCGGGTCGAACGCCGCTTGGCCGACCAGCCCTCCGTCGGGACAGACATCTGGCGCACACGGAGCAAGATGTCGCGAGCGCTGTCCGAAAGCGAATGCTAGCACGACTCTATCACTTGTTTACGTTGCAACGCCGCAAAAAAATCTCTCTGCACGCGCGCTCGAGCGGTCCGGGCAACAAAAAGCGCGAGTGAACCGCCGGGGGGGGAACCAGAAGACGGAGCGGCCGCGGGCGCGAGGCGCGAGGAGAGGGCGCACGAAAATCGAACTCGCGACGCGGGAGACGGAAACGGGTGTGGAGATTCGATGGCCCTGGGGGAACCCAATAGGCACTGATACTGCTACTCCCTGGGCCTCTCCCGGGGTTGCGCTCTGGCCAGACTTTCGGCGCGAATCCAGCGGCGGCGACGAGGGCCTCCGAGGAGGCCCCGACAGGAGAAAGCGAGGAGAGGGCAGAGGCATGGGCACCTCTGCCTCCTCAGAAACAGGAAGTGTGGGCTCCGCAGGACGCGTGCCAGGGAGGAGCAAAGGCCGAGGGCCGAGCCTCGATCCTCCTCCCGCTCCCCCTCCTCCTCGATCCTCCTCCCCCTCCTCGATCTTCCTCCTCCCCCTCCTCCTCCTCCTCCTTCTCGATCCTCCTCCTCGATCCTCCTCCCCCTCCTCGATCTTCCTCCTCCTCCTCCTCCTCCTCCTCGATACTCCTCCTCCTCCTCCTCCTCCTCCTCCTCCTCCGCGCGGTGCAATCCTCTCCCTGAGGCTGCACTGGGGGTGTCGGCCAGCGCAGTTTCAACGTCGAGGCGTATGCCGCCCCTGCGGGGGGAGTGGTTCTGCGCAGGAGTGTCGGCCTCTGGGTACGGCTCCGTGTGGTGACGGCCTCTGGGTACGGCCACGGGCCCAGTCCTCCGCGGGGGGAGGCTGGGCGGGGGTGTCGGCCTCAGGGTACGGCCCCACAGGGACTTCCTCGGCGCGGCCTTCGCTGGGAAGCCGGAGCGGGCGGACGCGGCTCTGCCGCCGCCGGTGCGGCCGCGCCCGCGCGCACCTGGCGGTGTATAGGTCAACCGCCTCGCCTCCCGACTTCTGGTGGCCCTGGCCGTCGTGAGTTCTCACGGCGGTCAGGGCTTCCTTTGAAGCTGCGCCCACCAACCATCCTCCTCCTCCTCCTCCTCCTCCTCCTCCTCCTCCGCCTCCTCCTCCTCCCTCCTCCTCCTCCTCCTCCTCCTCCTCCTCCTCCTCCTCCTCCTCCCCCCCCCCTCCTCTTCCTCCTCCTCCTCCTCGATCCTCCTCCCCCTCGTCGACCTTCCTCCTCCCCCTCCTCCTCCTCCTCGTCCCTGCACGGTGCACAGGTCGCCCGCGGCCTCGGCCACGAGGGCGAGGGCCCCGGAGCCGCTGGGACTGCACCGTAGAGGGCCCAGGGGGCGGCACGCCACGCGACACCGTCGGCGCACTTGCCCTGCAGCTCTGGACGCCCGAAGTGGGCACGGAAAGAAGGGGTACAATGCCCAACAACGAATGGTGTCCCAAACCAACAGCGGCCGCTGTTGGGCAAGCGGCCTTCTGTCTCGAATGGACACGGGCCGCGGCGGCGTGGACAGCGAATCCAGTTCAAAATGAACAGGGATTGTTGTTGGGCATTGTACCCATTCTTTCCGTACCCATTTCGGCCAGAGCAGCCAATTGAGCAGGGGCCGACCGTCCTGGCATTCCCGTAGGCCTACCACGGCATGCTCTAAGAGCCCAAACATGTTCTGATAACAGCAGCCCTAAAACAAGGTAGTCTCGGCCAGACATGCTCTAACAGTTCGCAGACATTACAAAAAGGTTCTTAGAACATTGTTTGGTGGGCCTATCGGCACGCCTGGACGTTTCAGCACTTGTTTGAGCCAAGGCCCAGCAGCTAGTACGTTGCAAGTCTAAACGTATGGGAAGCCGAAGAGTGGGGCAAGACACCGACACCACCTCTGCCCCATCGACGGAACATCGCAACTTGCACCTCCAAGGCCGCTGCGGTCGCCCAACACCAGTTTGTGGAGATCGGCAACGCCGGAACAGGGCAGAACGCCTTGATGCGGGGTCTATTCCGCCAGACATCTGCACATCCACAGAAGAATTCCAGCCGCTCTGAATACTCAGCAATATCTAATTCGCATAGCCAATGCACCAACACGCGTGGCAACGAGGAAAGGGGCATATTGTCTTACAGAAGTGTGCAAACCCTGCAGAAGATCTCCTTGGCATTGCCAGCATGGTGCTTGACGTTGTCCGCCGTCCCTTCGAGCGCGTCCTGAGCGGAGGGCTGGCGCGAAACAATCACATGAGAGATAACAGCTCGCGCATCCGGTCATCGTAACCACGGAAACAACACATGCCTGAGCAGGCCGAGACATACTGTCCTGTGTCTGGCTCGAACGGTGCTTCAGTCGAATCTGCGTTAGTATGTACCACTTGTGCATGCATGTGTGTGACATTCTGCATGTATGCCTGCTGGCATGCCGAATGTTGCGACCAAACGGTCGTGGTATACACCGCTGCGTTGTCAATTGATTGCCAAGTGTGTATGCGTGTGCGTGTGTGTGTGCGTGTGTGTGTGTGTTTGTGGGGGGAGGGGGGGTGCTTGTGCGTATGTGCGTGTGCGAATGTGGTGCTTGCACCTGCTGGCGAACTATGGGTACGTTGTTCGGGCGGGTTGTTGATTATTTCCTGTTCGGCTTCACCCTGATTTGAATACGATCAGCCCCTCCGTTCGGATTGCTGACCGCTCGCAATGTTCGCCAAACTTCTACCTGAATCCGTTCCGTGTCAGTGCTGTTCAACCATGCACCTTGTGCAACTTGGCATGGCTGGCGGCTCCATTGAAAAGCGTACTGCCTGGTCTCTCAAATTCCACATGTTTGTGACTGGGCATCGCTGCGACTGCTGATGTTTCATGTTGCTTGTCGTGTCGAATGGATGTTGCTGTCTTTCCGTGTGTATGTTGTTTTGTTTGCTATGCTGCTTTCGTGTTTGCTTGAGCGTTCAGGAGCACAAAGACGCGGCGGCATCGGAGAGAGCGCGAGAAACGTAATGAGAGGCGGCCGAGTAGATATCTTGCACCATGTTGGGGGAGGCAGCTGCCGGGCGTACTTGCGGAATGCGACAATATTCTCAATTGAGCAACGAGGCCCAGATAATCGACAACTGGGGAGCATGGTAGGGCGCATGTCGAAAAACAAAAACACAATAACGTGGGTGTCGAGACGTGCGCTGCTCCTCTTGCGTCAACGACGTCGAGCGCATCCGACAGTAGCATCGACACACATAGCAACAAAGCTCTGCTCCTGAGCCGTACTCGCATGCTTCTGGGCCGCGTCCACCGCCCCATCAATCGCACCCTGGGCGACGAAGTGACACATGCAAAGGCGGCCACGTCTCGACAATACAGTGCAAGACATCAAAATTAACTTGAGACAACATCACCCCAACCAGCTCTACAAGCGCTGCCCGAATGCAGCAACACCCGTGCTAATCAAATCCCATGTGTTATAAGTCCGTCATCAACATCAAAAAGCCAACACATCAAATTCGCAACAGACGCGAATGAAAGCTAGCACTGGGACGAAATTGGCTCCTGAGACTTGTTCTGCAACATCTCCGCGGCCTTACCCGTTTGATCCTGTGCCGCGTCCACAGCTCCATCCAGCGCATCCTGAACGATACCACAGTTATGCAGATCGCGCTCCTCAGACTCAGAAGCCCCGTGTCCCCATTCGGCCGAGTATTGCCAACTCTTGTCCATGCGCTCTGATTTCCGGAAAACTAGTCGCCACAAACAATACTGTCTAGAGCTGCTTCTGGTCGCGAGAAACACGTTCAGCCCTCGGCAGATTGTTCGCATCTCTGCTGACATGAGCTCGATGCAGACGCGGTGTCACCCTGCGACAAGAAATCGACACAACACGCACCAATTGACCGAAGAGACGTCACAATTGCACCGAAGGCAAAATGATCCACTGAGGTAACGGAAAACCGCGGATGCCACTTCTTTTATCATACTCATCACTGTACCGACCTTGCAGACGTGCTGCGGCGGATGTTGGCGTGGATTTCTGTCAATGCAGAACCTGGAAGCGGCGAGTGAAAAACGAAATGAATTTCGCGTGGATGCTTTCTAGTCTTCGTTCCCAGCCCAACAAGATTCATGACCCCTTGAAATCCAGGACAAAGTTCTCCAGAACACTCCAGGCCCATCCGATACTTTTCCGAACGAAATCAGCTCTGCGATGTTGACGCCATGATACTGATGTCGTGCTCATCTCACCAGACGAAGTGATGGTCTAGTCTGTCACCCCTTTTACTCCCTACAATCATTAAGCAATCCCAATTGTCACGGATGCCTGCAACAGCGCCTCATAACCAAGGCAACAATAGCGTAACAAGACGCACAGCGGGGTGGTAGCACAAGACCGCAAGAGAGACCTTGCATTCTGGGACGTACCCATCGCCCAGGAGGTTTCTATTCAGTGCTGTTCTGCCAAGTTGCTGTGCCCCTGAGGTGTTGAAAGGTCTGATCAATTTCTTGGGCTGCATGTGCATGCTTAGGTTTCAACTTGTGTTTGGTTGAGCTTCGCCTTTGCTGCTGCTACGAACTGCTTGCTGTACCAATTTGGGGGCTGGGTACATTGTTGCATTCCCGTCCCGGAGCGCAGCCGGGCAGTGGCACCGGAGGGATCGCGACAAAGGTATAGACCGCCTGGAGAAACAAGTGTAGGGTTGTGGGGATTTGCTTCAATGTGCGCACCGCCTTTTCCAGGCAAACTCGCTCTTGAAATACACCACTGGGGCTGGGTTCACTGCTGCAATACAGTCCAGGAGCGCAAGCATGTAGCGGCTCCGGAGGGAGCGTGACCAACGAATGGACCGCTTGGAGAATGTATTGAACAGTTGGCGATTTGCATCAATGTGCGCACGAATTCCTCAGAAGTGCCACGGGAAATCTTGCAGGCAAACTCGCTATCGAAATACACCACCAGCCGCGAGTGCGCGACAAGGACCAGAGCAACGACGAATGGCGAGCACGGCTGCAGAGCGCGCGTCAACCAGCAAAAATATGCAAAGGTGGTCTTAGGGGGTGTTGGGCAACTGCAGCTGCAGGCAGAGGCATGCGACCAACATGTGCCAACGTGCGCCAAGCTGCAACTCGACCATACGTGCCAAACAGTGAGGCAATGACGGGGAAAGGCAGGTCATAGAAACAAGCGCACGAAGCATGAGACAACATGTTCCTGAGCCTTGCTCGCATGCTTCTGGGCCGTGGCGGCCGCGTCCATCGCGCCATCCAGCGTATCCTGGGCGTCGGAGCGACACATGCAGAGGCAGCCACGCCTTGAGACCACAGCGCGGCACCATGAACTTCGGACAATACCACCCCTGCCTACAGCAAACGTCGCTCTACTACCTCGGCCCACATGCACCACAGTGCATGCGGACCAAATCCCAACCTTAGAAGACTCGCCGTCAAGATGGGACACCCGCCGAAGGAACTTCGCAACAAAAAGGGCATGAAAGCGAGCATTTGGAAGAAATAGGCTCCTGAGACTTGTTCTGCAACACCTCTGCGGCCTTGCCCGCATGACCCTTGGCCGCGTCAACGGCCCCATCCAGCGCATCCTGAGCGATGAAGCGATGATGCAGATCGAGCGCCGCACAATCGGGAAACACCACATCACCAAACCTTCGGCCAAACACCGCCAACTCTCGCACATCCGCTTCGAGCTCTAGACATCTAGTCGCCACAAGGGATGCTGCCACGAACTCCTCCCGGTCGCAAGAGGCACAAGCATCCCTCGGCCAGATTGCTCGCACCTCTGCTCACGTGGGCTCGATGCAGGCGAGGTGCCACCATGCGACAGCGAGTGGGATCGCCACGCACCGAACAAGTAAGGGGGCTTCATGGTTGCATCGAAGGCAGTGTGATCCCCTGCGGGGACCCAAATCACTCACCGCTACCTCCAGGAACGCCGACCAGGGGACAAACAGGCGTTCTGGTCTTCGCGAGCCTCGCTAATGAACGAATTTCCCGACCAACACCAAGAGCCGGCCTGAACACAAGAGCCCCTCCAGAACCCGAAGTAAGACGTATTGCCGCGAGTTGGCAGTACTGTTCTCGTGTTGATCTCGCCAGACGAAAACATGACCTGTAGCCTGGCAACCCCTCTCCGAGCCCCTGCAAACGCAGCGTTAGTAAACGGGCCGGTAGGTGAGGGTGCGTTTTCAAGTGTGTTTGCAAACGAATCATTGGCCGCGCACAAGTGCGAGGTCACCCCCCCCCGCCCAGAGTTCTGTTGATGTATCGACGTTTGCGTCGCCCCGATTCATCACGCATTAGTGCGAGGTAAATGCCCTGTCACCCCGCTCTCAATTGAAGAGGACACTTGACTACCGCCCCGTTTGCTAACGCCACGTTTGCAGGGGCTTGGACTCTTCCCTCGGGACAGCTTGTCTGGGCATTTCTTCAGCCACTGCTTTGTAATGTCCCGTTCATTCTTGCATAGCGTCCAGGAGAGCAGGAACGCAGCGGCAACGGAGGGAGCGTGACAAACGCACCGGCCGCTAGGAGAGTGCCTTGCATGGTTCGGGGGTTCGAGGGGCAGTGTACGCAGGACCGCCTTACACATACTATGTGAAGTCTCCCAGGCAAGCCTGCTTGCGAAATAAACCAAGAGTCTCAAGTGTGCGACGAAGCCTGGGGCGTCGACGAATGAAGAGCATGGTTGTAGGGCGCGTGTCGGCCTGTCACACAACACTTACTCTGCACATTTGGCCTTGCCATATGATGCCTGGCCGCATCGAAGGCTCCAAGGCTTCAAGCAGCGCAGCCAGAACGACCAGGCACCAAAAAAGTGAGGTCTGCAGCTGCCGACAGAGGCTTGAGACCAACTCTAAGCAAACATTCGACCACGTGAATCAAACATCGAACATCAGAACATGTAAAGGATACTACATAGGACAGTAGCATGGATACAAACATGCGCAGCATGAGAAACTCTGCTCCTGAGCCTTGCTCGCATGTTGCTGGGCCGCGTCCACCGCTCCATCCAGCGCATCCTGGGCGGCGGAGCGATCCGAACAGAGGCGAAAACCCAAGACAAGGTAGCAACGTAGGACAACATCACCCCCTGACAAGAACAACAACTCTACAGGCGTTGCCCAGATGCATCAACACCCGTGCATGTCACATCTGATGTCTAGGACATCCACCACCGTGCCTTCAGCACGTAGTGGAGTGCCCCAAGGCTCCTGTAGTCCAGACAGCACGATGGAGACTTTGTGAGGTCTTGAAATGCCCAGACAAAGACATTCCTGGAATTCTTCGATGCTCCTGGGGTTTGCTGCGTTGGCATCCAGGCCGGTAGCCCCAGGCAAAACGAACCGAAGAACCCCAAGGTTTCTTGAGACACCGTCCTAGACTGCCCGTGATGCCCTCCAGTCAGCCCAAGAGGCCCCAAAGAGGCCCCCAAGAGGGACCCGAGAGGGCCCCCACGAGAGCCCTCACGAGGGCCCCGGGAAGCCAACATCGGTTCTGCCCTCCCGCTTTGCTCGAAGACTCTGCGAGGATGGCGACGCGCCAGAGAGGCCCAGAGGAAGCCCCCGAGACCGCCCCCCAGAAGCAGAGGCCCCCCAGGGGGCACCCCACGGCGGCCCAAGAGGCGCCCCCTCCCGAGACGGCCCGAGACGAGGCCCAACGAGAGGCCCCGGAGCGGGAACGCAGAACCCGGCGGGCGGGCGGAAGCCCTCCGCTCCAGGACGACCTGCGAGATCGCCAGCAGGCCCCCCAAGATAAAAGGGCCCCTCGACGCGCCAGGACCCCAAGAGGATGGGCCCGTTTTCCACCACCACCACCATAAGCTGGAGGGGGAAGGGTCCTCCTCCTCCACCTCCTCCACCTCCTCCTCCTCCTCTTCCTCCTCCTCCTGTCCGTCATCCTCCTCCTCCGCGTCCTCCTCCTCCTTCCCCCCTCCAACTTATGCTGGTGGTGGTAGAAAACAGGCCCATCACAAGAGGCCCAAATCATCCCCCAAGAACCCACGAGGGGCACGAGAGGCACTGCGAACAACTCGCGTCCAAGAGGCTTCCGGGAGGCCTCCCCCACAAGACCCCCACAGTTACGCTTCTCTCATCGCACTTGAGGACTACACCCCACAACCTATCTCGAGCATCCAGAAAAGTATTGAAACAGTGTCGAAGGAGTATCGCCTCCCAGGGCCCCACGGGTGAACACCCTCAAGTTTTGGTACTTTCTTGGTGCTCGAAACTATTTTGGGTGATCAAGGCTAGAAGTAGGTTGGAACATCCTAACCCCACAGGTAGATCCGCCGACCCCTGTGCTTGCCAAAAAGAATGCTTGGCGTGCCAGGAGTTTCAACAGGTTAGGCTATTTCCAAATCCGTCCAAATTGCCTTCAGCCCGAAGCGCCGGCCACCTGGGAAATCCCCTGGGGAATATCCCACCGATCTTCGCGCTCAAGACGGCCCAGCCCAAATATGGTATTTAAGACGGCCAAGATGGCCTCCAAGGCAGCCAAGATGACACACCTGCCGTATCTGAGACGGTCGGGATGTCACAACAACTGCCCAAGATGGCTGAGGACAGCCCAGGAGGCCCACAAGACGCCTAAAACAGGCATCCAAAGCGGACCACGCGGCTCCAAGAGGACACTCAGGTGAGCCCGAATATGCCACACTCATTGATGTACCTGTGGTGATATATGTATATATATATATATATATATATATATATATATATATATATGTCAGCGTTCTCGAAGCTTCGAGCTCCCGACGCTCCAAGACAAGACGGCCACATGTGCCCCCAAGACGGCCCAAGAGGACCCCAAGACGGCCCCCAAGATGGCACAAAGACGGCCACAAGACGGCCCCACCGACCTCGAAAACGGCTTTCAAGCGCTCAAAGGGTGACCCACGACTGCCTCCGACGTCCCCAAGAGGGCCTCCGAAGTCCCTAAGAAGCCCCCAGGAGGGCCCTAAAGAGGCCCCAGGAGGCCCCGGGATGGCCCCGAAGAGGCCCTCAGGAGGGCCCCAAAGAAACTTCTCAAAGGCCTCAACCAAGGAGGCTCCTAGTCCCAAGGAGCCCTCGGGAAGCCAAAAGAAAACATCATAATGCCTCCTGTTCCTCCTTCTCCTTGTCGTTCTCCTCTTTCTCCCTCTCATCCTCCGTTTTCTTAACAAGCAAATGTGCGATCGAGCACTTGGAAGAAGCTGGCTCCTGAGACGTGTTCTGCAACATCTCTGCGGCCTTGCCCGTGTGATGCTTGGCCGCGTCCACTGCCCCTCCAAGTGCATCCTGGGCGACGGGGCGACCAATGCAGAACAACGCCGCCCAGGGCCTAGAAAAACCAATCCTGCCCTGCAGCGCTGCCCAGATTGAACAGCATCCTTGTTATGGAATCCAAAGCTCAGCACCTTACAAATCAACATTCGCAATACGCGAGCACGCGATCGAACACGGGGAGGAGGTTGGCTCCTGAGACGTGCTCTTCAACATCTCCGCGGCCTTGCCCGTGTGGTGCTTGGCCGCGTCCACCGCCCCTCCCAGCGCATCCTGAGCAGCGGAGCAGCCCATGCAGAGGCGGCCACGTGTCGAGCACATCGCCACATCACATCCTGCTACCAAGAACCAAACTTTCAACAATCAGTGTCGGACAACCACCGAGAAAAAATCGCAACAGACGTGCATGAGAGCGAACGCCGGGAAGAGGCTGGCACCTGCGACGTGTTCTGCACCATCTCCGCGGCCTTGCCCGTGTGGTGCTTGGCGGCGTCCACCGCCCCGCCCAACGCATCCTGAGCGATACGGAAGCTCTGCGCTCTGCAGATCGAGCACCGTACAGCCAAGAATTCCATGCATCCGGCCAAACAACACCAACGCTCGTTCATTAGTTCCGCCTTCTGGACGACACGCCGGCACAAACGGTGGCATCTTGAATCGCCCCTAGCCGCGTGAAGCAGACGCAATGTACGACAGTCTGCTCGCATCTCAGCCCACATGGACTTGATTCAGACGTCATGCGGCCCTGCGGCAGAGAACTGGATCAACCACGCACCGAACGGCCGATGCGGCTTCATGAGTGGAGCAAAAGCGGGGTGATCTGTATGGGGGGGACCTACAATACTGATCAAACTACTTCTCTCCTGCTGGATTCACGCTGACCTCGCTGGGAAAAATTATGATCTAGTCTGGCGCCCGTTCTTCCCTCAAGCCAACGATCAATCTCGAGTATCAAGGGTGCTTCTAACAGCGCCTCGTAACCAAGGCAACACATTACGTTAAGGACGCACAGCCTGATGGTGGCATGAGAGAGCAAACGAAACATTTCATCCTGGGACGTGTTCAACGCCCAATCGGCTGCATTGCCAGAGTGGTGCTTGGCCGCATCCAGGGCGTCCTGGACACACCAAGAAGCAACAAACATGGGAAACTAAGGGCAACCGACGTCGCGGAAGGGTATCGGTGTATTGCCTTACATCGCCTTTCAGGTCACGCCTCCTGCATAATCCGCCACCGCACTTGACGCGATTGGTGTGCGTCGGCCCCTTGTTTTCGATCCGTACGTTTCGCTTCTTGCAACGCATTTGTGTGCTCACCAACACATCAAGCTCAACACACGTTCATGGAGTCTACTGCGTCATCAACCCCAACAGCACAGCGGCTGAAGTTCGAAACTCGTTGCTTCCTGACCGCTCCGAAATCCGTTCCATTGGTTCCACTCCGTCCCGAAATTCGTTGGTTCCTGGCACCGCGGGGATCGTTCAATTTGGACGCCCGAAATGTGTACGGAAAAAATGGCACAATACCCAACCACAAATGCTTCCCAAAACCGAAAGCGACCGCTGCTGGGCGGGCGGCGGTCCTCAAAGGACACCGTTCGCGGCGGCGCGGCCAGCGAGACCTGCTCAGAGTGAACAGGAGGTGCTGTTGGGCATAATACCAAGTAGTCGTTCCGTACCCATTTCGATCGTCCCGATTTTCAACCTGGAACGATCGGCCCGTTCCTAAGCATCGACCAAATCTAGGTCGCCGGCGGCGTCCAACGTCGACCGTCCGCGGCGTGGTCGCCGCCCGCCGACACGACAGGCGAACCAGGGAGGGACGCCCCGTGGCGCCTCCCCTTCCCCAGGGCTCCGCCGCTCTTCCCCTCAATCTCGCTTGGCCCCCAGAAGGCTTCAGATCGCCTCCCAGATGACCAGATTCTCCGATTCTGACAATTTTTGATCTGCGGGGCGAGAGCGAACCTCTTCCTCTAAGAGCCAGGCGGGCTACGCGAAACAACCCTGCACCCAAACACTTCTTCAGCTCTGGGGGGCGCATGTTTTACTTCCGCCGCCTTCCGCCGAGCTTCCGCTGGCCTCCGCTGGCGGAGGCGGCCTCGTTTTACTTCCGCCGACCTCCCCCACCCGTCGGCCGCTTTCTGCCGAGGAAGAGATGACAACTTCTTCGAACCTCGAAGGCAAGGCCTTTTTTTTGGAACGCCTGAGATGGCTACTACGCCTCCGAGTCGCACACGATGGCGATTCACGGCCCCAACGCCGAGTCAAGACTGATGGCGACCCAAGCCAGCCCCACACCCACCACATCACATGCTATGTTTTCAAGGCTTCTCTCTAGAGCCTTTAGCCCGAGGACCGTCGTCAGCTGCATGCGCCCCAAGAGAGGAACCTGGCAAATTGCGAAACATTCAACTGCCGAGGGTCGGGAAACAACGTGATTATACAACCAAACACATGTTTGGTAACACGCACACACACACGTGTTTTAAATAAAAACTGCCGCGCACGAAACTGCCTGGGACATTCCTCACATCGCGCAATCGCGCACGTGCAATGGCGCATTTCCATGAACGCAAAAACGCGTTAAACAACACGTCAAAACCTTTTTGTTGCAAAAGTGGGCAAACATGTCTGACACGACTTGCTAAAAACGACCTGTAAACCAGAAAAATGTCGCGATGCGCAATCGTCGCCGTAGGGGCCTGCTGACTGAGTCCTTAAGCACTCCGTTCAAAATGCAAAATCATCCTGGTGGGTGTGGGAGTGGGTTGTCCTCTCTCGAAAGACAGCCCCTCAGGCAGCGGGGATGGCCGCAAGATGGCCAAAGAGGCCCCTAAGACGCCTGAAGAAGCCTCCAACAAGACATCCAGGATAGCTCGAAAATGCCCAAACTATGGGTTGCCGTGAGTTTTTTCAGTGACTTCATTGTTCGCGCCTTTGCGGGCTCCCCGAAATCTCAAGACAGATCCACGATAGCCCCAACGGCCCCCAAGACGGCCCACGTAAGGGCATCAACACGGCCACACATAACTCCAATACAATATCAGAACGCCTCAAGGGGGCCCCGAGAAAACGCCCATGAAGACCTTGGAAACGGCCTCTGGAGGCATCAGACGGGCCGATAACGCCCTAAGACTGCCCTAGAGGCCCCGCAGGAGGCCCTGGAGAGGCCCCGAAGAGGCCCGCGGATGCCTCCACCGCCCAGAGAGGCCGCCCCAGCGTGGTGGCGGAATCGCGCGGCAGCGCACTGTAGAATTGAGCATGCTGGGGTGGAGTGTACCCATGAGGGCATCTGGACATCCAAGCGCCATCCGGAAGACACGTTGTCCAATATCACGATGCCACCCGAATATATCATGTTATTCAACTTGGGCCCAGCCCCCTCCAGCCTAGCCGGGCCTGGCGCTCACATTGTACTGTGAGAGCTTGCGCTGTCATACAATCCGCTGACGGCATGTAGCGACCGCAAGTACAACCCGACCCAGCAATAATAGCAGTAACGACAATGACTACAACATGAAAGTACTAGTTGGGGAATGTCGTGGTCAGCAAGGAAGTGTCGAAGGCCGAACACCGATTAACATCTCAAGCATGTACCCATACGCTGCTGTCAATGTCTATTCGTGCTACACGCCACCGCTTTTGCAGCAGTTCGTGTGCGCGTGCGTGGACGTGAATGTGAGCGCGAGTTCGTTGGGCGTTCGTGTGTCAAGCTCTTGCGTTTGAGTTGCTAGCTCTGTCTCTGGAAAAGGCAATATTATCCCAACTCCCCCGACGCATCGAAGACCAAACGCGTTCATGCTGTCAGCCAAGTCGATGCCTGTTCCCCGTCCTGACAAGAAAGGGTGCGAAGGTCAACATTGCGGGTATGACGTACCATTAGCTCCACGGACCGGAACGTCTGCTAAGCGTGTCGCCGCGGCGGCCCTGGCGACACGCTATGCCTTGCGAGTGGATAGCGTGTCGTTCCGCCCCGCGGTGCGCGAGGCTCTGAATAGCTCGGGACGCGGACGCTCGTCGGTGACTACATGGCCAGCGTGTCGCGCCGAGGCCTTGCGGGCCAGAACCAGCTGAGCGACGCGCCCCCCAAAAGTTCCTGACCGTACTCCTCCTGGGCGCCCGCCCCGCCACCCCTGGCGCTTCCTCCCACGAGCGCCCGCCCGAGCGAGGTGGAGATCCGCGTGGCGGTTCCTGCCGGCAAATTCGTTGGCTCCTGACACCGCGGGCGTTCGTTCAACCTCGAACGATCGGCCGGTTCGGAAACATCGGCCGATTCTGGGTTGCCGGCGGCGTCTGACGTGGACGGCCAGCGGCGTGGTCGCCGCTGGCCGACACGACGCGAACCTGCTGTAGCGCGGAGAAGGACGCCCGGGGGCGCCCCTCCCCCAGGGCTCCGCCGCCCTTCCCCTCGACCTCGCTCGGCCCCCAGAAGGCTTCAACGACGGCCGCGATTGCCCCTGATATACATGCCTCCGAGTCGGACACGATGGCGACTCATGGCCTCCACGCCGAACCACGCTGGCGGCGTCCAACGTTGAACGCCGCGAACCTACCCGACCGGCCCCCTCCCGAGTACACCTTCCCCGACGCTCCTCGCGGCGGCACGTCGTCGTGCACGACTGATCCGCACAGCTTGCGGCCCGACAACCCCCGGGCCCCTTGCCATCCCGGCGGCGCCGCGCACCACCCCCTCCGTGACGAAGCACAGCCATCGAAGAGGCTTTTCAGGCCACGGCGAGCCGCGGCCGCGAACAGGTTCCCCGGCCCAGATCCCCAAAAAGCGGCCGGGGAATCACAGCCCCCCCCCACGAGCCTACTGCTGTCCTTGCTTCAGCGCCTTGGCTGTAGCATTCGTCCGGTCATCAGGGTGCGACTCTGGTCCCGATGCGTACGCGTGTCCTCGGCGCTCGCCAAACCAGTCGAAGAGAACGGAAGAACAACGCCGATCCACGCTACTGTTGAAGGGGTCCTGGGACACACAAACAAATAGACACAAATAACAGGATTCCCAACATTTTCACATATTCCCTAGGTTTTTGTCTTCCCCCCCACTTTCCATATTTCCCCATCTTGTCTGGGGAGTCGACGATTAATTGTGTCTGTGTTTTTTCCCATGCTGAACAGCCGATCCACGCCACTGTTTCCCTGCGCCATCCTCTTCGCCTTCTCTGTGCTGACGCCTCGTTCGTCTCCTGTGGCGAAAGGCTCCGGTTCCTGTGACTTGCCCCTCGCCCAGTCTGCAGCCCGGCTCGAATGGTTCTTGACGGCATCGAGCGCGTCCCCCATCGAATCCTGACAGACGGAGCAAAGAACACTCCGACAGCGAGAGACTGGTAATGGCACAGCGGAATAGACTCGCCCGCTGGCCAGGGGTGACACAACGCGCGAGACAGGTTTAATCGGCACACAACGGGCCCTCCAGTCTGCCCCACGACAGCCCAGAAGGGGCCCCAAACCGGGCCCGAGAGGGTCCCAACCCAGCTCCAGAGGTCCCCACAGAGGACCACAGAACGCCTTCAGGAGATGTGAACAAGCACCACGGGGCCAAACCCTAGACATCCAAGAGGCCCCCACGAAACCTCGCAACAGACACGGTGGAAGAAGAGGCCGAATCAACAACAACTACACGCAGGCAGCAAGACGGAAACAGCAAAGAACACACACACACACACACGATATCCGAAGCCGCACGTGTCTCATTTTGGGGTGAACGTAGTGGCTATTGCCTATTGAAACAACCCGAGAGAACCAATCATCTCCTGAAGCGCATTCCCCTTCCGCTATTGGTGTCTCGAGGCTCGTGGTGCGGATACTGTCGTTACCCAGCCCGGCCCGCCACGAACACTGCAGAGCGTGTGGGAACCCATGGCAAAACTCAACGGAGGGTGCAGCACATCAAACGCCAGCCCAGAATCGGATGCGACCAAAGGTGGTCATGGCCAGGGTGGCTTCGGAATTGACAGGAGGCCCTCCTGCAGAGCATCTCTCACGAGGCCTAGGGGCCTTAATGGGGGCTTCTTAGAGGTAAGTCGGGCATGTCCCCTCCAGAGGCAGGATATTCAAGAATAGTCAACAAATAGTGCGGAGACGATGTTGTATGTTTGGCTATGTTTTAAATTGTTTTGTGTAGTTATGCGTCCTCAAAAAAACCTGCCTGTCGGAAGGCATCCCGACCTAATATTATGAGCCTTCAACTCCCCGACACGACACGGAAGAGCGTGTCACATCCTGCGGCTCTCCCAAACCCTGGGAACACAAGGGCCACAAGATGCCACCAGCTGCTGCTTCGTGTGCTCTTCGAGCAGTCGCCACCCATCACGCTGGGTTCTGAGCATCATTTAACCGATCCCTATCCTTACTGGCGTGGCCTGGGCCCCACTGGCCGATTTGCCCCCCTAGATGGGGATATAAGCTGCCCCCTTCGGGTTTCGAAGGGCATATCCCCACCTGCGGTGTTGGGATGGCAAAGAACGGAATGGTGACGGGGATGGGAATGGGGATTGGTTAGACGATACTGAGGCTCAACACGGTGGAAGAAGTAGCTGCAAGCAACTGGAACATAAACTGACACGCTACGGCACATCCGTACAGTCGGGCCTAGGCTTCGGTCGGGCATGTTCTCCTACAGGCGGACTTTTAAAAAAAAGAGAGCGCGCCGCTGGATCTGCCCAGGGGGGATAGGGGGGTTGGGAACCCCTCCCCCTCCCCCCTTTTCCCCGATCCGTCGTCGGCTCCACCCCCATTCCCCCCCCCCTTCCCGGTCCGCCGTCGGACCCCCCCCCCTCCCCCCTTTCCTGATCCGTCGTCGGTTGGGAACCCCTCCCCCTCCCCCCTTTCCTGATCCGTCGTCGAAAGGGGAAGGGGTTCCGGACCCCCCTCCCACCTTTGGCCGCCAAATTCGAGCCCCCCACCTCCCCTCCTTTCGCCACGGCGCACCCTGGCTGCGGAAACCGACCCCTACCACCCCTAACGCTAATCCTCACCCTGCCCTAAACCCACACCCCAGCCCAGAAACCCGAAACCTAGCCCCAAGCAGTACTCACCACTCACTATTCATCACTCACTACCCACTACTCACTACTCGCTACTCACTACACACTTCTCCCTATTCACTACTCACTTATCACAAGCCACTACTCACTACACACTACACACTACCCACTACCCACTACTCCCTACTCACTACTCCCTACTCACTACTCCCTACTCACTACTCCCAACTCACGACTCACTACTCACTACGGACTACCCACTACTCAATACTCACCACTCACCACTCGCGACCAACTATCCACTACTCAGTAATAACTACTCACTACCCACTAACCACTCACCACTACTTACTGCTGACTACGCACAATTCACTACTCACTACTCCATGCCCGTAACTCTCTACTCACTATCCATTGCTCGATACCCGCTACTCCCTACTCCCTACACAGTACACACTACCCACTACTCATGTATCGCTACTGCCTATTCGCTCCTCGCTACCCGGCACGCACTTCTCACTACCCACTACCCACTACTCACTACTCACTACTCCTAGCTCCATACTCCCTACTCACTTCTCACTATTCACTACTCACGACTCACTACTCTCAACTCGCTACTCACCCACTATCAACTACTCAGTACCCACTTCTCACGTCTCACTACTTACTACTCACTACTCACTACTCACAATTCAGAACTCATTTGGATCTACTCCCTTCTCACTGCTCACTACTCACAACGCCCTACTCGGTACTCACTACTCACTACTCACTACTCGCTACTCCCTACTCGCTACTCACTACTCACCACCCTCTCTCCCCCCAACCCAATACTCACTACTCACTACTCACTACTCACTACTCAGTACGCAAAACTCACTACCCACTACTCACTACTCACTCCTCGATACTTGCTACTCTCTACTCTCCACTCTCTACTCTCACTCTTCATTATTCACTCCTCACTATTCTCTGCTCGCTACTCACTACTCACTGTGTATGTACTACCCACTACTCACTACTCAGCTCTCACCACTCACCACCCACTACTCACTACCCACTACTCACTACTCACTACTCGCTATTCCCTACTCAGTACTCACTATTCAGCAGTACTCACTACTCGCTACTCACTACTCACTAAACAGTACTCAACACTCACTATTCCTCCTCGCCCTCTTTCCCAGTCCGTCGTCGGGAACACCCCGCCCATTCCAACGTCAAGGTGGGGGGGGGGAGGGGGGGTTTCGGACCCCCCCCACCCCTTCAGGGGGGGGGTCGAAAATCTCACCCCCCCTTTGAAGGGGGGGAGGGGGGCGGTTCCGCGAGGACCCCCCCCCGTTGTCAATTACAGGGTGATCCAGTGGCGCGTTGTTTTTTCAAGCATAGTAAAACAAATCATCCCCAGACTATTGTTTGACTGCTGTTGAACATTCCTCCTGTGGAGGGACATGCCAGACTCAAACTTAGGCGAGAAAACCATCTTTCAAGAACACATGAGCACCTTGGCACGCCAAAGCACACAGGACAGCCAAGAGTACCCTCCCCAGCATGCGCAAGAACATCGAACACACACGAAGAACATTAGGGTACCCTCCCCGACGAGACCTCGATCGCATACCTCGGCCCGACTGTAACTTGCAGCGAGGCGGAGCAAATGGGATGGTGCGGCTCCGGAGCAATGTCGGCCACCCAGTCCGCGGCCCGGCTGGTGTGGTTCGTGACGGCACCGAGCGCGTCCCCGACAGAATCCTGGCAGAGGAAGAGGACGGCAAGCGCACAGACACCTTGAAGACCGCATGCAGCCTCTGATCTCTCCTTCGTGTTACCAAAACGTTGAGCGAGTGCCAATGCTTACCTGTACAGCTCACGGACGCCTGTCACCTTCTGCCGTCGCCTTCCACTGCCCACAGATGGCCGCCTCGGGACTCTTGCAACGCACGTCGGTAGAGAACAGCAGAGCACGCAGGAAGGGACAACGAGATCATAGGCTGCGGTAGAGCCATGATAGACAACGAGGAATGACGGACGAGACGCTCTGGCTCCGGGGCATTGTCGGCCACCCAAGCCTTGGCCTTGCTCGCATGGTGCTTGACGCCATCCACCGCGCCGCCCAGCGAATCCTGGGTCATCAAGCCAAGAGATGCGATAAGGAGCTGCAGCAAGTTGGAGGCGGCCGGAGATCGGATCTAGAGGAGCCCAGAGATCATCAGTAAAAGAAGAGGCTGATGAGGGCGAATTCGCTCAAAAAATTTGCCTCCAGACTCCAGATCCCTCGCGGGGTTGAAACTGACACTTTGCTCGAGCCGCGTCCCTCTCCCCCCCCCCCTTTCTCTATGCTGGCCAGAAGCGATGCTGGGCCACCTCGGGCCCCCCCGGCTGGCGAAAGGCTACGAGCACTTCCAGACGCGCCCGCCCTGGAGGCGCTCCGTGGGCAGAGGGCGGTCGGCTCGGAAGCTCCGCCTCCGAGGGCGACCTGGGCTGCCATCGCTCAGCGCGCCAGCCCCACTGCCCTCGTGGGGCGGGAGGCGGGCGCCAGGGTCACGCCCCTCCCGAAGCGCACTCCTAGATCATCCCACGCCGAGAGGGGCCGCAAGAGAAGCTGGAAAGAGCATAGGCATCGCTCATCCCTTGCGATGCTGCCCCGGACGGGCTGGAACACCAGAGCAAAGGATGCGCGCACCCGCAAGGCCAGCCCTGGACTGGGGAGGCAGAAGACATGCTGGGCACGTCCAGAGCTGAGGGGTGCGGAAGGGGCCTCGCTTCATCGGCTCACCCTCACGTCCTGCTCTGGCTGCATGGGGAACATCTGGCATGAAACTGATCAGATCCTCCTCGGGGGGGGACTTCGACTGGGCGCCTGGCGATGCCCCTCCGTCTGTCCACTGCCACGAGAAACCCAAAGTCTGATCGTGATGATTGCGTGCCCGGCAGCTGGCTGCCACGCTCATTTACTCGCCGGCCCAAGGGGCCAGAGGCGTGCTAAAGACTCTCATAGGGGGTTCATGATGCGGTGCGGACGCGGCCGCAGGAAACCCACGCAAGAAACCAATCCCTGAAAACCCGCGCACGAGATGCACACGGGGGAGGGACCAGAGCACCCCTGAACGCAGCAGCTTCCCCCAAAATCCCCACCACAGACAGGGTGGGAACGGAGGACGAACCAGCAACAACTGCACGCAGGCAGCAAGACGGGAACGGCAAAGATCACACACACACGACATCGGAAGCCGCACGTGTCTCTTTTGGGGGTGGGCAGAATGGCTTTTGGCCTCTTGAGGCAACCCGAGAGAACCAATCAACTCCTGAAGCGCATTCCTCTTCCTATTGGTGCCTCGAGGCTCGTGGTGCCGGATATTGTAGTTACCCAGCCCGGCCCGCCACGAACACTGCAGAGCGTGTGGGAACCCATGGCAAAACGCAGAGGAGGGTGCAGCACATCAAACACCAGCCCAGAATCGGATGCGACCAGAGGTGGTCCTGGCCAGGGTGGCTTCGGAATTTGCAGGAGGCCCTCAGGGTCTTCAGAGCACCCCCCACGAGGCCTAGGGGCCTTGAGGGGTCTTCTTAGAGTTAAATCGGGTATGTCCCTCTACAGGGGGGGGAAAGTCAAGAATAGTCAACAAATCGTGTGGGTACGATGTTGTATGTATTTTTTATTATTGTTGAATATGTTTTCCATAGTTTCTATTTGGTCCTAAAAAGTCAGCCTGTCGGAGAACATGCCCGACCTAATCTTATAGGCCTTCAACTCCCCGACACGACACGGAAGAGCGTGTCACATCCTGCGGCTCTCCCAAGCCCCAGGGACACGAGGGCCACAAGATGCCACACGCTGCTGCTTCGTGTGCTCTTCGAACAGTCGCCACCCATCATGCTGGGCTCGGAGCATCGCTTAACCGATCCCTATCCTTCCTGGCGTGGCCTGGGCCCCACTGGCAAGTTTGCCCCCTTAGATGGGGATGTAAGCTGCTCCCTTCGGGTTTCGAAGGGCAAATCCCCAACTGGGGTGGTGGGATGGTGGAGAACGGGATGGTGACGGGGATGGGGACAGGGATTGGTTGAACGATACTGAGGCTCAACACGGTGGCGGGACTCGCTGCACGCAGCTGGAAAACAAACTGACACGCTACGGCACATCCGTCCAGTCGGACCTAGGCTTAGGTCGGGCATTTCCTCCTACAGGCGGATTTGAAAAGAAACATAACAACGAGTCACAAAAATATCAAACATAGCTTCTAGAGTTTGACTACTGTTGAACATTCTTCATGTAGGGGCAGAAGGGCATGCCCGACCTCAACCTCGGCGAGAAAACCATCCTTCAAGAACATGAGCACCTCCGCAGGCCAAAGCACACAGAACAGCCAAGAGCGCCCTCTCCAGCATGCGAAGAAGCATCCGACACACACGAAGAACCTTAGGGTACCACCCCCGACACGATCTCGATTGTATACCTCGGCCCGACTGTAACTTTCAGCGAGGCGGAGCAAATGGGATGGTGCGGCTCCGGAGCAATGTCGGCCACCCAGTTGGCGGCCCGGCTGGTGTGGTTCCTGACGGCACCGAGCGCGTCCCCGACCGAATCCTGGCAGAGGAGGAGGAGGAGGGCAGGCGCACAGACACCTCGAAGACCGCATGCAGCCTTTGACTTAAGTCGGGCGTGTCCCCCTACAGAGGGATTTTAGGCGAAAAATTGAAGATACTCAACAAATACCCCCCACATATTCAGAAACAGTCAAAAAGTCGACCCCTCACGATTTTTTTTACTATTTTTGAATCTTCCCCCTGTAGAGGGACAGGCCCGACTTAACCTTTGATCTCTCCTTCATGTTTCCAAAAGGTCGAGCGAGTGCCAATGCAAGGCTGCACAGCTCACGAGCACCTGTCACCTTCTGCCGTCGCCTTCCACTCTCCACAGATGGCCACCTCGGGACTCTTGCAACGCACGTCCATAGAGAACAGCAGAGCATGCAGGAAGGGACAACGAGATCATAGGCTGCGGTCGAGCCATGACAAACAACGAGGAATAACGAACGAGACGCTCTGGCTCCGGGGCATTGTCGGCCACCCAAGCCTTGGCCTTGCTCGCATGGTGCTTGACGCCATCCGCCGCGCCGCCCAGCGCATCCTGGGTCATCAAGCCAGGAGATGCGACAAGGAGCTGCAACAAGTTGGAGGCGGATTTCCACGCGTCCTGGCGTTACCAATGATGAGCGTTCAAGACGGGCCAAGAGGCCACCAAGATCGCCCCAACCAAATCGTCCCGAGAGACGCCCAGGACGGCCCCCAGACGGCCCCAGAAGGACTCCACGACGGCCGAGGAGGTATCCCAAGAGAGCTGCAGAGGCACCCAAGAAAACCACAGAGGGGAACTCCAGACTCACATGTCGAGCCTGCCCCGACAGATGGCGCCCGGGCCCGCCAGCAAGCCGCGCCAACCCCCCAAGAGGCCCTCGGAGGCCACGAGAGGCCCCCGTGAGTGCCCAGGAGGTCACAACATGATCGACCCACGGCTAGCACCAGAGGCTGCGCAATTCATGTGCTGCACGCCGCATATGGGTTGCGTTACAACCTGCGTCATGCGCTGCGCACTGCATCCGCTTTGAGGTGGAAGTAGCAGGACGTCCTTGGCGTTGTCGTTCACCCACTCTGTGGCCTTGGCCGCATGGTGCTTTGCGGCATTCTTGGTCCAATTGGCAGCGCTTTTTGCATGCTCCTGCAGCACGCTGCCTGTGGCTTCCAGGGCATCCTGTGCGGAAGGGCTGGCAGAAGCTCGAGGAGATGGGCACATGACTACAGGCAAGTTGGCAGTATGGCGCCCTTTGGCTTCACCTCTCAGCGGCTGCGAATGCATGGCACAAACAGCGCGCAGACACCGTCCGGAAGGCGAAGGAAGATCAATTAATGCTGATATCAACGAACGCTCTGCCCAAATAAACAAATCACGATCGCGCACACGCGCAAAAAAATACGCACGCACAACACAATACGGAACCGCACGCACCGTACAGTTCGCACAGTACGGCACGCGCGGCCGAGACGCCCCAGTCTAATCACGCACGTTGGATTGCACTGAACCTCAACTGTCGAACTCCATTGCCCAACATAGCAATGATGCTAGAGCCGCAGGGCCCATCATAAACATCCGAAGTGGGGGATCTCCTACGACATCGCATGCGATGGCCCTCACATGATCCATGGAACCGTCGTAAAAGAGATCGAGGTGGCGCAACGTCCTGGGCGTTGTCAGTCACCCAGTCCACGGCCTTGGCCCCATGATGCTTGGCGGCATTCTTGGTCCAATTGGCAGCGCGCGTCGCATGCTCGTGCAGCATGCTGCCAGCGGCGTCCAGCGAGTCCTGTGCGGGAGAGCCGGCAGAGATGCGGGGCAGCAGGCGCAGACCACGAGGCAGGTGCGCAGCGCCGGTCTCGTCACGCGCTGGGCTGCGCCCCGGAGGAACGAACGAGGGAGCTGAGCTGATGCAGTGTACTGAGGCAGACGAACGGCAGCACCGATGGGATGGGGATACGGGCAACAGGGTGGAAGAAGGTGTGGACAGGCAGCTGGATGGACGGGTGGACGCGCTGCGAATGGACATGCTTGGTGGCGGAATGAGCGTGGCGCATGGAATTCGTGGGTGGTGGATGGACTGAGATGTCATTCGCGGGGCGTGGGAGGGTTGAATCGCATCGTTGGGTGGAGTCGGTGCGTGTTTTGGAGGGGGGAGGGGGGGAGTGCAGAACGGACAGTCCAGCGGGGAATGACGTGTGTGGGGGGTGCTTCTTAAGCAATCTTGGATAATGCTTTGCATACGTTGCAGTGTGGGGCGAAACGTGCGCCCTCGATTATCATGGTCGACGTTCCCACCAATTTTAGATACGGCAGCAACATATGCGATGTGAGCTGCCTGCAGCTAGGGATCTTCAGCGAATTGCCCTGACTTGACGTAAGCATGCACGCACGACCGGAGGAAGGGTGCATGGCTGAAAGGGTATTGCACCTTCCCGTAAAAGCACACATCCGCACTGGGGTAAACTCACAAGTCGCAATACATTTGCATTGAACGAGGCCACTTCACATAAACCATGATCTGGAGCAACACGTGAAGCGCGGACAACTCACACGACGACCTGCATCTGGAAAGCATCTCCAACTAGGTCTTGATCGTGGAGAGGGCTGTTATCGGGAGCGGCCCAGAGGGGGGTGTCCAAGAGGGGGGGGGTGCAAATCATGACCGGCGGCATGTGCGCGGCCCAGCGGGGAGCCGGGAACGTAATGAAATAAGAAGAGGCGCCGTCAGATCTGGGGAGATATCATGGCCCCCGCCATGATATCCCCCCCCCTAGTCATCACCCCCCTCTTTTCCGCCCCCGATGTTAACTAGAAATGCGGTCCCCAGCAGCACCGCCGGTTTTGTTGTCGATCCACTCGGCTGCCCCGTTAATATGGTGCTTTGCCGCGTTGATGTGGTCCTTTGCCGACCGTGGACATCATGCGCAGTCACTTTGGAAACGTGCTCAACGCGTCCAATACAACATGAACCCTTGGCACATCAGAGAAGAGAAAACGATGTGGTACGTACCCACTGCTACTCCTGAGCCTGTGGTTGGAAAAACGCAACAAACCTCGAACGGTACGGTCAAGTGCCGCGAGCGAACATCCCAACAATGCGCCGGCTAACCTCGCATGCGCTGCCTGCCGAAGAAGGAGGGGGAAGAAGCGGACGGCGTGACGCGACATGGCAGACGGCGAGAGACGACGACGCAGGGCAAACCACGCCAACAGTGGGCACGGCAGGACAGGCGGGAGGCCTTTGAGCACCACGTCAAACCTGTCAGGCGAAGGAGGGAGGATGGTGGAGTGACAAAAGGTCGGTCGAGGAAGAGGGGGGGAAGGATCGGAACAATCGGTCACCCACTCGCAAATGCAGAGGTGAAGCAAGGAACAGGAACAGGAACAAACCCCACCAGCCCTCTGGGCGTGGGTGGTTCAGAGCGTTTCCTCTTCCACCCCTCATTCTTCCCCTTCGGGGAGGGGTTTACCCCTTCACCACCCCCTCCCCTGGACTTGGACGGGGGTTCCGCGAGACGTCGGAGCGTCCAAAACGGCCTCGGCGAGGAAGCCAAACTCATTGGTTTTACTAGGGTTGTGGCCCCATTTTGGCCTCTTGGGGGGGGGCCTAATTAAAGCACCCCTCTTGTTTGATCGACCTCCTCCAAGATGGCCCCAAGAAGTGCCTAGGAGGCCCCAAGAGGTCCCAAGATGGCCCCAATATGGCCCCAAGAGGCCCCCAAGATTCCCCAGGAGACCCCAAGAGACCCCCAAGAGGCCCCAACAGACCCCCCAGAGGCACCCAAGATGCTCCAAGAGGCCTCGGCGAGAATGCCAAAACAGCTTCGGCGAGGAAGCCAACATCATTGGTTTGACTAGGGTTGTGGATCCCATTTTGGCATCTTGGGGGGGGGCCCTAATTAAAGCTTCCCTCTTGTTGGATCGATCTCCTCCAAGATGGCCCCAAGAAGCGCCCAGGAGGCCCCAACAGGTCCCAAGATGGCCCCAAGATGGCCCCAAGAGGCCCCCAAGATGCCCCCAGGAGGCCCCCAAAAGACCCGCAAGAGGCCCCAAGAGACCCCCCAGAGGCACCCAAGACGCTCCAAGAGGCATCGGCGAGAACGCCAAAACTGCCTCGGCGAGGAAGACACAATCATTGGTGATACTTTAGTTTTGGCCCCATTTTGGCCTCCTGGACAAGCGGACAAGCGGCCTGCAGTCAAGGTGCCGCGGGGGCACTGCAAGGTGGCGCCGGGGCGCCGCTATTGGTGAAACAATGCGACAACAACAAGATTCGATACATCACACTGTCTGGAAGGAGGACAAAGAGGGGGAGGAGGAAACAGACGGCGATGACGGCACTAGAATATTAGCCGCGTAACCATGGACACTCACTGTTGTGTGTACCCAGACTCCAAATTGTCCCATGTGTCCGTCCCCGCTAGTCGTAGCAACCCTGCAACATGTTGTGGCGCGTCTTCGACACACCGTTTAATGTAGGATAGTATGTCGTCCCACCACCTGGTCTTTTGCCGTCCAACACGGCGTTGTGTATGTATGTGTGCATCATTTTGTGGCTCCCATTGTAACACTCGCTGTGCCCATTCTTTCGTACTGTTAGTACACACTTCTTGCAACAATTTCCATTTACGCTTTTTGATTGTGGTAATCCAATATGCGACCCCCAAATTTGAAATACTATGTTCGGCGTGTTGCGTTGCACGACGGATCCAATCCGGCCAAGGCTCAAGGGTATCTTCTTCCTGGAATTGGTCAGCATCCGCGGCTGGAAGTGGTTGACCGCTGTGAACATCCCCTCCGCTGCCTGTGGTAATTGAAGAATCGTCGTTTTCCGGGTAGTCGCCGGCGTTGTCGCCATCGGGATTGCGTCGGGGATCTGCTTCTGATGACTCCAGCTTCTTTCTTCGAGGCGTTCTGATGATCATGCGAAGCATCTGTCTCTGCGTTCTGCGAATTCTGTTTTCCAACTCCTGAGTAACCGTCCATGTCTCGCATCCATACAGCATTGTCGGCGTAATTGTTCCCTGGAAAAGCCGAATTCGGTTATTTATAGAATAGTTTCTTCCCGTAAGCTCCTGTTTGAGTAAACGGAGCTGTCTCCACGCTCCAGAAATTCGGTGTTCCACTTCGGTCTTGTGGTACTCGCTGCATTGCAGCTTTCGGCCGGGGTACTTGGTGGAGCGGTATGGCGGCAACACTTCGATCTTCATGTCGTGCACTAATACGTGGCTCGGTGGTTGTATCGTTCGTTTGTGCCGGTGTCCATTGTGCAGAATTTTGGTCTTGTCTGGATGAAGGTGGAGGCCTGTCTTCGCCGCTTCTGTGCTGAGGTCGGAGAGCATAGTTGCAATGTCGCTGCTGGAGTGCGCGATTAGGAGGATGTCGTCGGCGAAACGTAAGTTATTCAAGAGCTCGCCACCATGGGCGTGCAATTTGACTCCAAATCCCCGTGCTGCCCACTTCTTCTTCACCACCCGCATAACATGTTCGGAAACAGAATTAAAAAGCAGTGAGCTGAGTGGGTCGCCCTGTTTCGTGCCCCTCTCGATGTCGAAGTTTTTGCTGCGACGGTCGGTGTGGATGGCTCCTGTTTGTTGGCTGTACAGCTTCTGGAGCAAAGTGATGTACGGAGTCGGAACTAGCTGTTCTGTAAGAGATTCCCCTATGCTCGCGTGCGTCACGGTGTCAAACGCCTTCTTGAAATCAATGGCTGCGATCCAGAGCGGGACCTGCCACTCGTCTGTGATCTCATGCAAGATCGTCGCTGTGAACAAATGGTCGGTTGTTCCTCTCTTGGGTCTGAAACCCGCCTGGTCTGGGCTTTGCTGCTCGTCTAATGTATCTCCCAAGCGGTTGCATAACAATTTGGAGAACAGCTTATACAACATTGGGGTGCTTGCGATTGGTCGGTAACTCTCCGGACGCATTGGGTCACCACTCTTATGCAGTACCTTTACCACTGTGTGTTTCCAGCTGGAGGGAGTGGGTGAGTCAGGACGTAAAATGTTGTTGAACGTGTCCAACAAGACTCTCTTGAGTGTACTTCCGCCTTCTTTCAACATCTCTGCTGCGATCCCATGCGTGTCTGGAGCCCGCTTTGTTTTCAACTGACGTAGAGCATCTGACAGTTCACTGTCAGTGAATGGTGGGATCGAAACTGCTTCGTTTTGACCGTGGTACTGGCATTCTTCGGCATCTTTATGCGCGTCGCCGTAGAACTTCGCATAGAAATCTGCAAACACGTCTGCTATGGCCCGCCTGTCGTGCTGGGTTTGGCCACTGGCATCCACCATGCCTGGTATCAAATCCTTCTTCTTGTAAATCTTGATCCCGCTGATTCGTTTTAAATCTCGGTATTGGGTGAGAATTCGATCGATGGCGGCTGTGCGAGTGGCTCGTTTGATAGCCCTGAGCTCCTTGCGGATCGTCTTGTTGATGTGTGCTCGTGCTGTCGTGTCGGTTGTTGGTGTGTCCCGTCTGTCCCGGAGTAGTCGCGCAACAGTGCTGGTCGTTGTCGCTTGCTGGATGCTGAGTGCGCCGGATGGCTCTGGCTGTTGTTGGCCCAGTAGTGTCTCGGCGATGGCGGCCTCGATGTTCTCGCATTTGAGTTGGAGCCGGGTCTCGAGTAATAGTTCGTCTAACTTGTCTGTGAGAGCATGGCGGTATGCAGGGATGTCGTCCGGGGGCCAAGCTGGACGGCTCCGTCATGGTCGACGTTGTTTCCCTTGTCGGATTGGTGTGTCCTGCTGGCTGCTGTGTCGTTGTCGTCCGGGCGCTCGGAATGTGAATCGTACCGAATTGTGGTCGGAGCCGAGGTCGATGTCAGTCGTTGCCTCGCAATCGGCAGCTGCTCGCCATATGGGCTTGCTGGCCAAGATGAAATCAATTTGGTGTTGCAATTGTTCGGGCGATGTGTAAGTGGTCACGTTGCATGCGTGCTTGTAGAAGTAGGTGTTCATAATGCGTAGTCTTTCCGTGGACGCCCAATTCTTCAACCACTGGCCTCGCACGTTGACGTCGCCATAACCACATGGCCCGACGGTGCGCCGGTCGTCCTCGGATTGTCGCTGTCCAACACGTGCGTTGCAATCCGCTCCAATGATGAAGGCGAGCTTCTGTGTGGTGGCATGCTGGCGGGTCTCTGCAAGGATGCTGCACATTGACTGAATGCTCTTGTCACTGTATCCGCTATGTGGGAAATAAGCTGAAACGGTGCGCAATCTCAGACCACTCACCACAATGTCGGCATAGCATATTCTTTCGTTGACTGGTTGGAAGCACCGGATAGCATTCGCAAACTTGTTGTGTACCAGAATAGCAACTCCACAACGTTGTTCTTCGAATCCGGATCCCATGAATATATGCCCATATTTGGATGACCAATGTTCATGCTTCTCTTGCCGCCATGTCTCGTTCAGTGTTATAAAATCCCATCGTGTACCTCGCAATTCTTCGAAAAGCTCCTCAACGCGATCTTCCGAAATAAGTCCACGCACGTTTTTGTGGTATAATGTAAATGTCGTATCCGGCGTGGAATTCGGTAGGTGGAGGTCGTTCGGTGGAGGTCGCAAGCTGGAGGTGGAAACTTGGAGGTCGACAGCTGCTGGTGGATTCTGGGAGTCGGAATCTAGATGCTGAAGCTCGATTGGTTGAGGTTGGAAGTCGTTACGTGGAGGTCGAAAGTTGGGTGTGGAAGATTGGAGGTCAATGGCTGTTGGTGTATGCTCGGGGTCGGGAGTTGGCAGCTGGAGGTCGGTCTGGTGAGGTTGGAGGTCCATAGGTGGAGGTCGCACGCTGGAGGTGCAGTCTACAGCTGGTGGCGGATGTTGGGTGCCGGACTCTGGACGCTGGAGGTCGGTTAATTGAGGTTGGAGGTCGATGGGTGGAGGTCGACAGCTGG